GAAGCCGAGCTCGAGATTAAGGCACCTCTTCGCCCGAGATCACTTCAGTAAGTGGTGTTCATCAGGGTTGCCCTATCTCTCAGTTTCTGTTTAAATTTATCATAGATCTAATTATTGAAACAACCCTGTCATCCTGCGAGGATAGTGGTATCGATTTACTCCCAGGCGGCAAACTGTCTGATCTAGGGTATACATACAACATTGTACTACTAAGTGAAGATGCAGATAAGTTGCAAGCTTCCCTGAATAGTTTGAGTGCTAGTGTACCTATGTTTGGTACGCATTTTATACCTTCAGAGTGCCAAATGATGCTACGAGTTTGGGTTGGCTCAGCCCACAATTTCACTCTATTTGTGCAGCTATATCTTACCTGGTGGACGTATCATAGATGAAGTGTCGGCACGCATACAGAAGGCTCGATTGGCGTTTGTCAACTTGAGACATGTGTGGCACCGTCGCGACCTGTGTCCCTGAAGGGTCCAGTATATGCTGCAGCAGTTTGGCGAGCGGTGCTATACGGTGCAGATACGTAGCCATTACGGGAACAGGATGGAAATGGATTGTTAGTGTTCGAACACCGCTGTCTACGTTGCACTGCACAAATCTGGTAGGGAAACCGGACGAGACATGATAAGGTTGGGTGTAGAGTTTTAGGTACTCGCGGTCGTTCACGGGTGCAATTTGTGGATGTCCACAGATTACGCATGCTACGAAATAGATTGCCACGGCGAGCGATGTTTCCCGGGGCAAGGAGTGGTTGTAAAAGGGTCGATAGCGGTCGAAGTGAGACCTGACATAAGAGTATGAAAACCCTAAGCAGGACACCGGGTCACGTAGTGACCGTTAGGCTCACTGGATGGGGACCCCATGAACATGGTCACCGGTGGTTAGAGACGTTGGATGATACGGTTGAGTGTCACAAACAGTGGTGCTCGTGCATCTAGTCAATATTCTTAAAACCCTCCTCTTTTCGAATAGTCTATCTTTCCTTTGAATTTACTCTCAACATTCCAATCTTCATTCTCCTCTTTTCTCCAAACGGACAGTCAAAAGACAGCAACCAAAACCGGTGCACAAGAGTGTATAGTTAATGGTTGTAAAGTTAGCTAAATTTGCAAAGAAGTTGAGTGAATTCGTGAGCCCTGTTGTTTGCGGTACAGTCACATTGTTCTGTCTCCGATCATCAATTAGGCTTAGTTTAAGGTCCCCAACCGGAACGATTAACATTATTTGCATGTCCACGTCCCTTAGACAGGCTTTCCAACCCCTCATGCGGGGTTTAAATTTGATCACTTTTGACTGCCTACTTCGGCGAACATCGCTCGCCAGTAGGAACCTATTCGGTTCAACACGCAATATATGCCCTACCCACCATAGCCCATGAAGGTTGAACCCTTGCTCCAGTGAGCGACGTCACTTCACTCTTCACATGCCATCATTGTTTGATTGTGTTCTTTATTTGGTTCATGTAGATGAGCTCTTTACCACGACGGTTGGTATCGGGTATTCGAGTCTCATGAAACTTCAAATATGTAATTTACCCACTATAAATTTTGAATTTTGGCTTGTAGTATTTATTGATTGTTAACGACCCTCCTGCAGACCTTATTTGTACATACAATCCTCAATACATCCAGTTGACCATACATTAGTGAAGCACTGAGCTCTGGTTTCGACTCTCACTAGAGATTATAATCGCCGCATTTTCACAGTCCCGTCCAATGTTAGGACGCTAAGTCTCTCACGCGGAGAGCGTGTGTTACCATTGTGTCTAATAACTCACAATAGGGCTAACCACACTTATAGATTCAAACTTACTCATCTTTGATGGCATTAGATTTGTGTCGTGCTGGCCATCTTCGTCTTTCCTAGTATATAAATAGCTTGAATCTTTCGTCGTGTCCACGCATGTGCATCTATGCTTTTTTCGCTTTACACGTGCTATTTTTGCTTTATGGTCTAACAAAAACGCTTTTACCCGTCCAGACCATGGCACGCAAATAACTGTCTGTCACAAGCACGGTTCTGTTAACACGTTTCGATTTTCATCGGTATTGATCGCTAGCCAGTCCCGTTTCGCCGATCATTATGGCTGAACGTCGTCACTTTTTGTGCTAATCGTAAATAGCGGCGATCATTCGTTTCGGTTCCCGCAGGCGAATATTCAGAATATTAGGTAGGCATGCACGGGAACTGCAAAAACGCACTAAGAAAGATCGATTCAGTACTGGCATACGCACATGAAGATTTCTAATCTGATGTGCTCATAATTGAACTTTCTTGCGCGTCATTGTGACTGGGTCTCACGACAGTAATAGGGACAACTGTATCCAACAGTGAGGACTCAGGATCTGAGAAATCTCATGGTTAGAATTAGTGGGAAAAACGAGCTGAACTTGCACTTGTGACCGCACACACTCACTACAAACTGATCCGAAATGGCACATTTGATACCAATGCACAAAGTCAGGTTGCCAGGTGAAGATCAGCAAGGCAAGGTTAGTGTCATGACATGAGAGAGAATATAATCCTAAAACCATTGATCGTTCAGCTGACATGTTGAAATTGAATGAGGATGGGATTATATGCAAAGGGGCGAAAGAACAACAGCCCGGAAGCTGTTAATTGGAGCTGCATCACAGGTGAACGCTTGCTGAGTGCAAATGTAATCATAATAAACATATTGACACCAAATGTATGCAATGATATTTACACAGAACGCCTTCTCTTTACAAAGGTAATGGGCGGCAATGCTCATGTTACTATGGTTTCACGGGATTTAAATCGTATCATTAATTGTCTTTACATTGGGATGTGTTGCATGCGTTCTGTTCTGATTTCTTTCAGGTTTCGACCACCTCTAGTACGATACAAACATGGGCTAGAACCAACTTTTAAATCTTAGAGCAATAAGAACACTGTTGGTGTTAGAGAGTTCTCCAAACCTCAAATGTTTTTTGCAGAAGTTTTGTAACCAGACCAGGCACATCACCAGTGCGACTTAGGAGAAACTCCAGTTTGCAGTTTACACGGGCAGTCGAAGCTAAACTCCGGACTACGGTATGGTTTTATGCTAGCAGTGATGTTTGTCATCATTGTTTCTGTCCATCTCCTTTATCCTGAATACGGAGAGGAAATGTACATAGAATCTCTTACCATTGTTCAAGAAAAGCGATAAAGAATTTACTGACGATGAGCTATGCAGTTTTTTATCAAGCAGGCGATACTTTTTGATTAGAGAATCAACCAAATGTTTTATTCTAAAGTTCAGTGGTCAGTCAACACGTTCAGTCTTCAGTAGAGTTGGTGGAAACATTCTATTTTTGAATAAAAACAATTGTTCACTTCAAGTCTCCTTTCTTTGTTTGTATAATGACAAATTCATATTCCAACAGTACTTCGGGTTTGCATGCTTATACAGTGCGTGGGTTTGATTATTGGTTAAAGTGAGGCGATGCATAGACGTCCTTCCAAATTTGCGAAGGGAAAATAAAATGATGTTCTGAATGGGCTATAAGTACCTGAACCGATTCTACTCTCTTATTCGCCAGAATCACGGGTTTCTCACCGATCTTGATCAAACTTATGAGACTTTTTTCAGTGTGACAAGTCAAAGCTGGATTCGGAGAAGAAATACAATAATTTGCAAAGCACTAACCCTCGCTTCTTTTTACTGACCAAACAATAATCAAATATTCAGTTCTAACAAAAATACTGACGAAAATTTGGGCGGTAGGATTAAAGTTTACGACTTGCAAACACATGCTTTGGAGACGTATCGACTAGTCGTGGCTTCGATCTCGGAAGCAGAATTACTACCATCACACGATCAAAGCCACTACTATATGGGCTTTTACGTTAGCATAGTTTATACCGAATCTAATGAAAGCGCACATCATCTTCAGTGCGTGAATGCATGTAGCCTGGGCGGAGTTGAACTATCACAAATAAGAATTTGCTGGTTATCGTTTCCCTTTTGAAATTCTCATCTAAAAACATCCCAACTCAGCTTTCATACCATTGTCCGTACCTCCTGTCGGGTGGGGAAATTACACTTTGTTCCACTGGTGACTTCCCTTTGCCTGCACTATATTTTGAATAGTCACTAAACTGGATGAATGTGAATGCTCCTTGGCTTCCCCACCCGGCGGCACCTGTTTTCAAATGTTTTGGCGTACTTAACAGGGATAAACCCATTTATCAGTGGATTGTGTTTAACAGTCCTGGATGATTCTGGAAGACATACTGAAACACACTAGCAGGGAAAGGTTTGGTGGTCCATTTGCCGTATCGTTCACGCATCTGATGGTGCATCTATTTAGGTCACCAGACTGCGCGATTCGGAAACATGGTTCACAGTCTCTGAAACGACAACTGCCCATTCACCTTCTGACAGTTGAAAAGTATATAAATGAATGTTTTACGAAGTAATCGATTGCAACGTTTAACCTAAGAAAGGGAAAACACAAAATGTGAACGATTAGACGAGATTCTCACTGCTTTCTAACCGGATCCGTTGTGATAATCCAATCAAGATGTTACCAATTATGATTTCTCTCCCTAATAAACATTGACAAATTCTGTCGTATTAGCTTGTGACTGAATCATCGGAAAACTAACTTGTTTGGTACTGTTTTTCTTACGTGCAATGATGTTATATCCGGACAACAGTGGAATTCCTCATGCGTTTACTCGAGTCACGCAAGTGCGTTAGTTTTTGTGGAGCGACAATTTCTTACTGAAGTCCTAAACAGGACATTTTCGCACGATGAAAGAGGTAACTGATCAGCCTCATGAGTACCTGAACAGTCTTTCCAGTTGCCAAACGACGACAATGTTCAATCCATCAAATCCTACGTCTACTAAGAATATCGAGAACAGGTAGATATATTACTCTATTGATTGGGTCAGACCGAAACATGGAGCAAATAGAAGTACTGAAGAGTGGGACAGAGATGAAAAAGAAGAGAATGGAATATGGTACAGAAGCCAACTTTGTGTCAAGCCCAGGTGACCGCAGTTTTAGTCAGGTCATAGACTTTCTGTGAACCTGTCGATGAGGTCACACGAAGAATAACACGAGGCGGTGAATGTGTCGACTCGGCCTTGTCCAAAGATTGTGAACCAACGTCCAAGTTTTCCGTCTCTTGCCCGGCTGATTTTGAAGGTGTCAACCATGCCTCGTCTTTCACGCTCTTATGACTGACAGATATCTGAACACTGCAACCGGAATGGATGAGACCTTGTTCGTCTGCCAGAGCCAGTACACTGATGATACGACGTTCAACCTTGCGTTAAAGAGACGCAAACAATAATAATACGTGAGAATCAGTACATTCACTCGGTTGTCCACCTGAAGAGCGAGTGACAATAATTTGCTGTTATGTGACATTTAATTCATCATATGTTCCCCGCTGCACTTGTGCATGTTTGTCTACCAAACACCTGATTACTGGTAACTGGCGCACCACATTGTACCGCTATAGACCAATACATAAGATATTCATTTCTCGGTATTCTAAGCACTATCGGAAGAGTCATGATAATGGTTATAGAGATACAGAAAATTAACCGTACACAAAATTTCAGCCTAGCGTTAATGTTTGATCAAAAATTTAAAAGGTGCGCGCTAAAATCCCAGTTATACACTAACGAATCGTTCATAGGTTTTCCTTAGGTTGCGCACCTTGAGTTTTCGTCACTCCAAATCAGACTCGACTAGCCACGAGGAGGCCAATAAGAATATCCAGATTGGATGTATTTGGGATGCTAGCGCGAAGTGGATAAAGAAAACCGAGTCAAGATATTTGCATTTGTCAAGTTGCACCAAATAAGACCCTGCATTACAAAATCGTAGTGGTGCTATTTGTATGCATAAGAACGCAAACAAATGATAATGCGGTGACCTATTGCTCTACGAGGGCGGGTGGATGGAAGTCCTTTCGATGTGTTTTGTTTTTCATTGTTTCAGGTGTTAGCGAGTTTCATTCGCATCACAAATTATCACTGAGTGAGACAAAAGAAGTACGTTGAACTACTTCGATCTAACACTCTTCAGGAGTGCAGATTGTTTTTGTACATTTTTCTCTACATGAACTGTGCTAGTAAGGGGTGTATAAATCACAACTAACCAAAGCAAAATAGTCAAAAGACGATCGCTATCTACAGTCATAAAACACAAGGGGCAAACAATATTCTGGATATCCTTCGAAGCGAATGGATGAGGTGGAAAACTGAAAACCTTTCAGGCAGTCGCGACGAGTTCGTCGAAGCTCGGTTGAAACCAAACAAACTGAGAGGTATTCCCTTAAGATAAGAAAAAGAAAAGCTTGTTTTCAGGGCGCCGTCGAATGGCGAAATGCCATGTTTGAACGTTGACCGTATGCTACTAAAATAGTTTCTACGGTGTCCTAAAATTTTGCTTCAAATAAGCCGGAGCGAATAGATCACTGCCACTGTCCGTTGCAAGAAAATTTCCTATCAGACGGAGTGCGGTAAGCATGACGTGACCATATGGTGCAATCGGTCGAGGTTGACTGTGTTATAATGCATCAGGATAAAGGAAAGCGAATGGGTCTCCCTAGAGAACTTTCAGGGCAAAACATACGTCGGTCGATACAGCTGGCCTCCAATCATGCCTCAGAAATGAAAGCCCTCCGTGGATTAAATGATTCAATTCGATGACAAGAAAAAAGAATAACAGTGATTCAGCTGATGGATCAATGACAAGCCTGCTAATTGTGTGGGGTGGATTTTCGGCGCGCGGTCCTGGTGATTGCATTCCAGCGGATTGTTACCACAGCTCGCGAATCACATCTTATCGGAATACTTTTATTCTTTTGTGATGTTAAAGCAAGTGTCACGTATATGTATCTCATATTCCAAATATTTGAATAAGATTTGTAGGATTCTGACCTGAATGCAATGTGAAAATGTTTGAATTGAAGGATGATGTAGAGACCGCCTTGTAACAAGAAAAGCTATCGACAATGAGTTGTTCGGGAATGTCGAAGAATATCTCCAAAAGGTATGTTGAGATTAATAAGTGGAACAGCCACTCTACAACCTAAGAACCTGCTTCAACTACAAGGGACTGACACGTTTGTCGCGGGGTTGTTCTACTTTCCATCGTATACCCCGTTTAGCAAGAGAAATGTCGTACTCAGATTGCTCAACTACAGAAGTAATAATAATAATAAAAATGGTTGTTAGGCTTCACACAAATTTTTAGATATGAAAAGTTAGGTAGAGGGGCATGAAACTTGTAGCAGGGTTTATGGTTTTCCAGGCAAATCCTTAGGATGGAGCCTGGAGATTTAATAAAAATAACATCGACTATCAAGTTGAACTAAATTTGGAGTAAAAACAGTAGAAATGCGAATGGATTTCAAAGTATACCAATTTAATGCGAAAGATCAACTTCAGCATTAGTCCTGGGGCGATCACAAATCAAAGAGAGAAGTCTTTTAACATCAAACTTGAAACTTAAACGGCAGAAACACACAGGACTAGTTGACACACTTTACATGTACCGGAACATCGCTTTATTAATGTTTGCGCATGCAGACGTTTACCGGTAACAATTATAACTAACGCGAAAGTAGAACAATCGGAGGTCTATTAGTGGTTGTTTGTGATATGCATATGCGAACCGCAAAGACATGGTCACGAACGGGACGCCGAATGACTGGTTCGCACACTAAAATGTGATTCTTGAACACGGTGGAAAAGGGTAGTTGTCATACAACTGGTTCCTTCAGGGTCCTGGCATCAGCGTATTTATCATCTCAAAGATCTGTGGCGTTGTCCGCCAAAAACCAGGGTGGAGGAAGTGGGTATTAACAAAACAACTCTAAGGCGTGCTGCGGAACCAGTCAAGTAGATGACTCTCTAGATCAAAAATCAATCCTGCATTCAGTGAACGGTTGTGCGTCTGAGACATACGATCAAGCAAAAGAAATAGACACGGTCAACTATCTGCTGATCACGTGCTAATGATTTTGATCAAACAGACCTTTAAACCGAATATCATCAGTTGAAATGGACATTATCGGAATTCATTTCGACAACTAATTCGTATAAAAGCCAATTGCCTTAGAAAGATCTGTTCAAAGCTGCTATGACAAAAGTTGGACAAAAGCGAGGTTTTCGAGAACTCTGTAGCGAAGCTCGGAGGGGCGGGTTTATTTTACTTTCAGCATTATATGTATTCGACACAATAACCTTGTTTGCATCACCGGGTGACGTTGGGATAGACAGCTCTTTCAGAGCCAGTCCATTGAAGAATCAATGCTGTCATTCGATGTTTTGTGTATATATATATATGGGGCGCCAAAAATAACCATGGATTAACGAAAAATATGGGGACAGAAGCGGGGAAAACAAAACAGTGAACTTGATGGAATAACAAATTTTTCAAATACCTGCGTAAACAGACACTGGTGGGAGAGTTATTCCATGACGAAAATGATTTCGCAGACGGCATGGACTGCACCATAACCAGGGTTCGTGAGTCGACGGATGGAAACTGTTGTGAGGGAACCGGCCAAAATTGACTCCAAACTATCCATAAAGAAGCCTATCGAATGGTTCCTAGTCATTGAATCAATGTCTTCATTGGGTATAAGCTTTGGCCTGGGTAACTTGGCAGTATCGTGCCCACGAGCAAATCATGGGTCTTTTTCCTTCTTATAGAGATTATCGGACCGTGAATTGTTTGGCACATAGTTTGAAATCAGACGTGTGTGAAAATATATAATATATGTATGAAGAGTGTATAATCTGAGACGAAGCAGCATATCGCCATTCTGTGGATCAGGATGTGGTACCTGGAAAGGAACTTTGGTGTGAGCGACGAGCTCGTACAACAGTGACATTTACCTGGGAAAGAGCGTCGCATTCAATTCACTATACGCACACAGTTCAAATGAGGTGTGATACATTTTCACTATTCATTCAAAGCAGTCTTAGATCGTGCATCAGTCAAATAGAGATGCAAGCATCTTCCATAAATGGTGTGATTCGGTTGTAGACGTAATACTGTCAGATTGCACAAACACGAGGTGACTTTTTAGAGATTAACAATCAGGGCCTTTGACCAGGTCAAGAGAATCGTGAGCCACCTTCCGCGTCTCCAGTTTGAAAATATAACGACTAGGTAGGCCTTAACAAAGACTAAGTGAGCATTGTTTTAGCGAGTAGGCTGTCGCACAGGATCGAGGTTGATGCACAGAAACGCGACAATAAACACCAGACGAGTGATCTTTCAGTAATAAAATATCAGATATACCCGTGGAAGCAACTGCGCTGTTGAAAAAAATGGATGAGACTCAATATGGTCACCATCCCGCAACCCGACAGCTATTGTTGTGAAGAGGTTAGAGACTGATAGTCGAAGAAAAGTACTGGGGATACAACTAGTTTCATTGTCACCGGGTTCTTCAGGCAATCAATACTTATGAGGTCAAATGGTCCTCCAGCATTAGTCCCTTAAAATAAAAGTATAGTAAACCTCCAGTGCTAATATTTGAAAACTAAATTGGGAACCAAATCAAATGACATGCCTACCTCGTACATGATCGACCGTGCTCCGTAATACACATCATAACCATCAACGATCAGATCGATTACTTCACGATCCCAGGTTAAATCGATGGAATGCCGTTTTTTAGCCTAGAAATAAGAGGATAAAGAACCAGACGTATTCGAGTTGACAATTAAAAAAAGATGACTAGAACAACTGAATGGTGCATCAACCTGTTCTATCAAATGTATTTACATGTTTCCTTGTGTTGATGTAATGAATAACGGGAAAGGATGCTTAGCATATTTGAACTATTATTCCATGATGACACTACGAACTACGCAACTTTTATTTTTAATTGTAGCCGATGTGGCTACATAGTTAGATGACATCATTATAGGTGGCCGCTTAGTCGCTCGAGATTATCACACAAACTGTGCTTTTCCACATAGCGCATGAGGCTAAGTTGATGATATAGAATGGGTCGTCAGTGTTACAGATCTTTCGGCTCAAACATAGTACTTGTCTGCCAGTGATGAGAAGCAGCTTTCTTCAGGATGGAAACACGGTCATCCTCTGATGCATGATGAGGCCATCTGGTGTTGATATCCGTGCAAGTTTGTGCGGAGACGCAACATAAATCCAGGGTGTTACAACACGGCGCGTCAAACCACGACACACTAGGGTAATGGAATGCAGAACATTTTGATGAGTGATCAGTGCACATTGAAGTTACTCGATTGCACTATGTTTACCTTTTTATTTAGCGTGTTTCGAAAGGCGATTAGGTGAGCTGGTTGGGATAGCTTATCGCATTCTGACCGTCGTGCGTTTGGAAATCCAACCAACGCACATGGACAGCCCAGTGCAAACTAATGGGCGGTCACAATCGAAGGGAGATACTCTATGACAGACGTTCTTGTGTCCACCGGCAACATGTGTAGTTCACGGAGTCGTGGTTGGTATGTACCGATGGCTGAGATGAAGAGGACGGATGCCTGGTAGCGTACCGCCAATTTCAGCTTCCGAAATTCATAATCGTAAGAAACTGCTGATGGACAACCGACCAACTCTAGCATTGTACTGCGAAAATCAGGATATCAGTCCGACTCGTTTTAAGCAGCTATCGATAAAAGATATCTCTGATTGCATATGGGCTTTGTTCTATCAGGGCGTACACCGAGACGACAAAAGAAATCGCGCCTATGGGGTGTAGATCGTTTACTTCGCTGTCGAATGCGATTCAATCCAGCTTCAGCTCTCTCACTGAGGATCACGTTAACACTAGCCACAACCTCTGGGTTCCCAGAAAAAGGTAAGTGAAACTTCGTCGATGAGGGTCTCAAACAGATAGTGAACCTGAAATCTTAGAAGCGAGCGTCCTGGATACAACACGCATTGATGGCTAGAATATCGAGAGTACGAGATACACACGTTTGTTGTCCTATTTGTATCAGGGTTTCCACTTTAAACGTGGTTAGTAAGAAGGAACATCGAGGACAGAGAACAGCTCCAGCTAGCGAAGTAGGTTCTACGAGACTTGAACAACAGTAGAGGCGAGACGTGAGAGAACCATGGTATAAAGTTCCCGATAGCAAATGAATGCATGTCTAAAAAGAGGAGGAAGAAACGGTGAACTGGGAAGGTGTGTACAGAATAAAGTAGTCATACAGTGAGGCTCAGTATAAGGATTCAATGATGCGAGAAATTTTACGGTTGGTCTCTAATGTGCTCAATCAACATAACTCACGATGCGAGTATAAAAGATTTCGGTTAAGTTAAGTATATACAGAAAGGTGAATATACAGCACAAAAACGGAAGAACATTAATTTATCGGTATCATTTACCGATCAATTTTGCCGGGTGAACTACGGAAAGAGAGAAGAAATCCAGTTCGATCTGTGCCGTATCTCAAGAACAGATACAACAAATCTAGCTGATAATCTATGAAGATTAGGCGTAGAAAGAAAACGGTGTGATGTGGAAAATGCCAGTTTATCCTCACCTTCTCCTTCCAGCTTTCTAAACAACGATTGACCAACTGGGTGAGTTCTGAAGTAGAAAAGGGCAAAAAATAGACCATCTCGTTGATACGACCAAGAAATTCGTCCCGAAGGAAATTGTGCTGCGTGGTTTTTGAATGGGCGAACGGGGTCATAGGGATGAGAAGAACCGGGATAGGACAATAAAAAACGAATAAGGTTTGCGAGGGACGGAAGATAAGATACATTATAATTAATCACAGAAAGCGCTTAAAAAATTCTTTACAATAGAAAAGAACAACAACGCGAGCTGACCAAATACGGCAATATGAACTGAAAAGCTGCCTTATTCTTGTTGGATCCTATTAGCAAGAAAAGTCCATCAGACCTTAATCATTAAACCCAGGGAACCTAGCTAGTGCGGGACCCGTTTTTGAAGGGTTAATGTGAAATAAAAACAGTTTGTGTCCTGGCTTGTCAATAAAACATTTCTTTGTACTTTGCATGGTGAAATCTTTTGAAACACGAACTTTTTGTACTGATACTAGNTGATACTAGAACGTGCTTAGTAGATTATTAAAATCACTCTCAAATTAGTAAAAGCACAGTTGCTATCTTTCGATCAGTAGCTTTTCAACAAATTCCATCATTAAAATTAGGCACGTATCTTTTCCGCACATTGTATCACAGTTACCGTGTTCGAAACCCGGGATAAACGCCTCTCACCAAATTTCTTTTTTCAATTTTCGAATCCACTAAAAATACCGCCGCAGTCCCTAAACTATAGTTATTACTGGACAATCAGGGGTTACACCGCCCGCACCAAAATAAATCAAACGATGCTCATTTATTGTGATGCCTGTCGAATTCACATTACCAATTAGAAGAATTTAAATAAACCGCCGATATCCGGGTCGGCGAACTACTGGTAAATCACCTAGACGAGTTGGCAAATCCGAAGTCAAAACCAAACACGAAGAGGTATACGAACCATACCCATACCTTGCTGGCTGTGGTAGTGTTCATTGACTTGATGGGGCATCGAGGTGTCCGGCACCTCGGACGTTTGAACCCCATCCAAATAGCGAATGATTTCGTAAACTGGACACTAATATTCAGCAGATTGTGGTTTTCACATACTACTCTGTTTGCGATAGCCGAAGGCGGCGGTTGAAGGTCTACTAGGAAAATTAACCTGCTTTGACAAGGGCAACCCAGCAGCATTTCCGACAACGAGATATCATGGGAACAAACGAACTCCCAAGCACATTAACCTTCAACGAAAAATTTAGGAATCAAACGCAGCGCGGAGTACCTGGGCATAAAACCACCTCTAAACGTCACTGATTACGGAAAAAGAGGATTTACACCTAATCAAGAATTTTTCCCCTAAGACTGGTGCAATGACTGTTTAAGTTGAATGATTGATTGAGGACTTTACAGGAAGAAAACATTATTTTACTCACGCGAAGAATCGGTCGCATCACCTTCTCCTTAAAATCTCTGGACAACTCGATTGCATCCTCTGAAACAAGTTGGAACGGAAATTGATTAAAAAGCCGTGGATCGGGTGAAAGCGCCAAAGTGATGTGGAGAAAACACCAGACGAGTCTCAGAAACAGAATCAGATTCGACAAATCGCTTTGACGCATGGACAGGTGGTTAACTGCCTTAATTGCACCCCGCTGTCAAAGATGATTGTTCCCTCATTGGTCAGCACCAACACTCGGTCCCTGTTTCTCAAAATGTCAAATTTAACTAGTGTCCTCCGATCAAGAATTCATACGAACACGTGTGCAGTCTGCGTTCAAGAATCCTGGTTGAATAAGGACGTAGATGACTCTCTAGTGTCAATAGACGGTTTTCAAGTTTACCGGCAGGATTGTGGAACCGAAGGGGGTGTTGCCACATATGTCAATGTTTCCTGGTGTGGCAAGTCCTATGTTGTTTATCAGTACTGCTCAAAAGGTATTGAGTGTCTAACTATACAGTGTCACCCTAGATTTTCCCGTTTTACTCACACAAT